GCTGATTTTAAACTGTTGCCATGGGTTGATTTTCCCCAGTGGGTTAAAGGTTTTAAATATTACATAAATTACATTTGACTGAAATGCCTTTACTCAAACATTTTGCATTATACCTGTAATAAAACTGTACTAAATGTTTTGTGAAGGAGGGCCACTAGTAGGAAGCATTTGAGCTGTGTTTATGATCAATGTGCATAACATTGACTGTAAAATATGTATTTTAGGGATGGAAATTACATATTTTGATGTTCGGGACATGGTCTTGTTTCTTGGGTTGCATTTGTTTGTCACTCAATTAATTCTCTTGTGCTTCGTTCTCCCCCTTCTGAATTATGTTGTATTGATAAGGAGTTATCACAAAGTAAGTCTGTTTAGTTGTGCTATCTTACAAACAGTATATAGTAAATGTAAGTTAAAGTGTCGCCGATGTAACCGGTTAAAACTTGGAGTGGCAATGAGGTCTTAAAATGTATGGAAAGAGTCTTAAAAAAGGTCTTAAAAGGTATTAAATTTAACTCCATGATTCCTGTATATAACCTGGAATAACTAATAGGCTTAATCAGGCCAAGGAAAGGCCTTGTCTGCATCATAACCCCTTCAGAGAGCAACTGAAGAGACTAAAGATTTTTTAGTTTTTGTTGCATTCATGAGAGAACTGATTTGGAGAACCGTGCATCTTGTACATACTAAAACCGTCGGGAATATTTGGAAAGCCTAGAGTGAAGTGTTTGTGAAATTAGAGATCCTCGCCTAAAAATAAAAATGAAATCAGTTTTATTTTCTCCCAAATTAAATTTTTTTTCCCCCAAATGACAATTTTCCCCCCATTTAAATTTTTCTGGACTCCTTTTTTTCCATCTAAATTCTTCTAGTTTTAATGATTTAGTTATTTTTTTTTACTAATCAGAAATGTATATCTGATCTATTGAGTTCATGCAGTTTTAACAGTTTAGTCATTTATTACATTTTTTTTCACAAGAAATGTCCCAGTGACGTGTTTTTTTCCCCCCCCTGAAATTGTGTTGTGCCTGTTTTAGTTTTTCTTTGATTTAATATAAATTTATTATCATAAACAGTAGGGCTGTCAAAAATTTTCTAATTTCAAATATTCGTCGAATAAAAAAAAAAAAATCCACATTCCACACAATTTTAGGTCTGCGTCAGCCGTCAGGCAGCCTTATCAGTGGCGCAAGAAATGTGACGACAATGTAAGTGTCATTGCATTTTAATGCTTTTGTTAGCCTGTCCAGTTGAACCCACTAGATACGGCGCTGCTACGTTGTTCATTCAATATATTGTGGAAAACGAGAGCATCAGTGTGGAGAAGATGTTGTTTACGTCAAAAACTGAAACCAACTGAATAAATTTAAATGAACAAACTTGGCGTTGCATTTGCAACCATGTGAAAACAGGGGGTGCTGCAGCCCCCTCAGCACCCCTACTTCCCGCGTCCCTGCAGAACGCATATTTATCACATTTTCTAGCGGGGCATCTATCAGCGTTGCACTCGCGTCTCACACAAGAGAGCGGCATGTTTAGAAAGCCATGTAAAATGAATAGGGGTTTGACGAGACACTTATCCCACGAGACTAGACACGAGACTGGGTTCACGAGAACGAGACGAGATGTGATTTTTAGACTTTTTTAAAAGAAATCCTCAATGATGAAATATATAGGGGAAAATAGTCTTTTATTCAACTAAAGAACACAAAATGCAAAAAAGTAGGTGCATTTTGAAATCATCTTGTACTTTATGAAATTAAACATCTATTTTAATAAATTTTATGCAGTAATAAACAACATGTAAACACTGCAAAATGTTTTGCCACAAACTCAACTGACAGGCAAGTAATTGTACAAAATGATAAATAGTATAAATAAAAATAAATAATAAACAACATTAAATATCCCTTTAAAGTGGAAGTGAAGCAGTCAGTCAAGTTTACATTATTTAGTAAACTGATTTCCACTTTAATAAAAAAAAAAATAATAAACACGATTAATGTATCCATTTAAAATAATAAAGCAGTGGTTCCCAAACTGGGGGGCACGCTGAAGGATAGTTAGGGCCCTGTGAAATCAGTTTAATTTTTTTCCAAATTCTGTTTTTTCCGTTTAAATTTTTCTGGATTCCGTTTTTTGTTTTTTTTTCGTAAAAATTTTTCTCGACTCCTTTTTAATAGTTAAATTAAATTTTATTAATTAAAAAGCATGTCTAATTAATTAAAATCATGAAACTTATACATTTTCATATCAATTTATTAAAAGTTTAACAAAAATTACATGTTTAGGGCCCTATGAAATGTTTTATTTTTTCTCACCATATTATTTATTGTTACCAAATTCTGTGTTTTAGCATGTCTAATTATTTGAATGCATAAAACAACTTACTTTATTCATTTTTTTTCTTAAAGTAGCCTAATGAATTTTTTTTATCCTCAGAAATTCTGTGTTGTGTATTTACATTTTTCTGGTTATCAAATGAAGGCATAAGACATTAATTTCATTTATCATTTATCATTTATCTTTTAATTATTGAAAATTAAGCAAACAAGATTTTTTGGCAAACAAAGGGGATTTACTATTAAAATTAAAACATGGAAGAAATGTTAAATCGACTTTTGCGGCTTAATATTTACAGATACTAGTCCATATCGTGATTTGATTTAAGTGTAATGACCTACTTTTGATTAATTAATTCAAAATTCTACAAATTCCGTGACATTCCGCGTTAAACTGTGAATTCTGTTTTTATGACTGGATAAAGACTACGCCGTAATTTTCCCGCTTATCATGCGGCCACTTGCCTGATGTGAACATAAAATATCTTACATACCACCGCTTGGGAACGAGCCAGTCTGCGCCAGGATATCGTCACGTTCTCGCGAGATAAGTCAGATCTCGCGAGACACATCAGATCTCACGAGATCTCGTCACACCCCTAAAAATTTATGTAAGTTAAACTTTTAAAAAACATGTCTCAAGACTTTATGCCGGTTTTCCCCCATCCCACTGTATCTCATGTTTTTAAATGAAGAAAGTAGCCTACTCTTTGTGATTGGTTTTCGGTCCTTTGTATTAAACTATTCATACATGCATGGTGGTGTTTTTTTTTTCTAAATGTTTAAGCAACTTTATTAATTATATATGGTTTATAAACATTATTTTAAACATTATGCACTTTTTTTCAAAGATAGTCGTGTTATTTTATTACGCTTTGAAGAAACGTGCATAATATTTTGCTCGATGCGCCCTCTTGTGGCCTCAGGAGAGAAGCCAAAAGCTTTTTTTCCCCCCTAGCTGAAATTATGCCTTTTAAATTCGAATATAATTCGAATTTTGATCATATTTAAGTGGAAAATTCAAATTTAGTTTTTCAGTCATTTTGACAGCCCTAATAAACAGTGGGAATCAAATGAAGGCTTAAAACATTAACAATTCAATTATTAGAATTTTTTTTTTTACATAAATGAAAATGTAACATTTCCTTTTATTTTTTGGCAAACACTGCTGAATGACAGATGTTTACTGTTAAAACTAAAACATGGAAGAAGAAAGGTGATATTCCTTAAAATAAATTTTTAATTGTATTATTACTTTAAGAAGGAACTGTACAATAGTAATATTTATTTCCGTTACAATTTCTTGAAGTGGTATTACATTGTGTTATACTGTTAATAAAATTTTTTTGACTGGATTCCGCATTTCCGTCCAAAGAAACATCACCGAAATCACAGGGTCATACTATCAGTCATTAATGTAGCCTCTCTCTTTCTCTGCTAGGTGATGATGATGGTGATGGATATGAGACTGATCATCAGGATTACTGTGAGGTCTGTCAGCAGGGAGGAGAGATCATTCTCTGTGACACCTGTCCACGAGCTTATCACATGGTCTGCTTGGACCCTGATATGGAGAAAGCACCGGAGGGCACCTGGAGCTGCCCACACTGTGTGAGTGAACCAGCTCTGAATCTCCACATGAGTTCAATCTAAAACTGCAGCAGCTGCCCTCGCAAATGTTTGGTTTTGTCCAAAGAGCTGCATGTCAAGCCCTGATGTGCCACTGTGCTCAGCATCATCTCTTCCTCTTTCAGGAGAAGATGGGCATCCAGTGGGAGGCTCGTGAGGACGCATCAGACGGCGAGGAGGATAACGAGGCGGGAGGAGAGGCGGAGGAGGACGACCATCACATGGAGTTCTGCAGGGTGTGTAAGGACGGCGGAGAGCTGCTGTGCTGTGACTCCTGTCCCTCATCATACCACATCCACTGCCTTAACCCACCGCTGCCTGAGATTCCCAACGGAGAATGGATCTGCCCTCGCTGCACTGTGAGTCAACTGCGTTACAAATAGGTCAGGGGTCATATGTGACACTGTCAATTTTCCAGAAATGTCATAATCGACTGATCTATTAATTGATTTATCATTAATGTTACTACAGCAAAACGCATGTCGGAGACTCAAATAGCATACAAATTGCCTGCTTTTGAAATCTAATATAAGTGTAATACCATTAAAATATTTTATGTAATATACGTGCATAGTACTATAATATTTTTAGATGACCGTAAATTATAGAATACAAATGTACTACCAAAACAAAATATAATTATAAATGCAAGTTATATTTACAAAATAGTTTTATTCAGTACAAACAGTGTACTTTTGAACTGTAGTATAATTCATATAAACGTAATGCGATTAATATATAAATTTTCGTCAATCTAATATTTGTATATTTTATATAATATACATGCATAATAAATAAATATAGTATTTAAGTGTAAATGTAATTGGGACTCAAATAGTGTACAAATAGCTTACTTTCGAATTATAATATAATGTAAATGTAAATAACATCAATATGTAAATATAATTAATACTTATGTATTTTATATAATATACATGTATAATAAACATAATTACTATATAAATAAAATATGTATTTGGGACTTAAATAGCATGTACAAATAGCCTACTTTGCAAAGCTGCTGAAATGCAAATCCAATATAATATACATGCATAATAAATAATATTCAAATATAAGTAGCAAAAGTAAATGTAATCGGGACTCTAATATGCAAAAAAAAAACTACTTTTGAATTATTTAGACATATATAATATAATTTAGAATGAATATTAATGTTGTTTATAAATAATTGGGATTCAAATGTACAAATAACCTAGCTTTGATCATTTAAATAAATAGGCTTAAATATGAGTATTAGTAATGTATGGGTATTATTCTTTTCAGTCCACTTTTTAATATATTTAGACTTAATTAGGTATATATTTAATTAACCATTGCTTTTTATTTTTTGATAATGTATACAAGAAAGACAGGTTTGAGTTTTTCCACATTGAAACTTCCCTTTGCGCATCGTGAAATAATTTACACCTAATTTTTTCCCTCCAGTGTCCTACTATGAAAGGTAAGGTGCAGAAGATTCTGACCTGGCGCTGGAGTGAACCACCTCCCCCGACCCTTGTGCCGCGGCCCAGTGACCTCCCAGCTGATGCGTCCAACCCCAAACCATTGGCTGGTCGCCCTGAGAGGGAGTTCTTCGTTAAATGGCATAATATGTCCTACTGGCACTGCTCCTGGGTTTCTGAGCTGCAGGTACCTGCACTGGTTCTTATTGTGGTCTTAAAATGCCATTTTGAATCCAGATTCAGGCTGAATTCACACTCAATTAGTTTGCTTGGTCCTAATCTTGGCCCGCATCTTCTCTCACTCTCTCTAGCTGGAGATGCACTGTCAGGTGATGTTCAGAAACTACCAGCGCAAGAACGACATGGACGAACCCACACCCATAGACTTCGGCGGCGATGGAGAGGAGGAGAAGAGCGACAAGAGGAAGAAGAAAGACCCCACCTATGCTAAGATGGAGGAGAAGTACTACCGCTTTGGCATCAAGATGGAGTGGATGATGATTCACCGTATCCTGAACCATAGGTGTGATGAGCTTCAAGAACTTTGGCTTGAAACGCTTTGGATCAGTTTCATGGCTTTGCTCACTTTGTCGTACCTCTTGTGTTTTATTCTTTTCAGTGTGGATAAGAAGAATAACTGTCACTACCTCATCAAGTGGAGGGATTTGACATATGATCAAGCCACCTGGGAGGCAGAGGATATGGATATACCAGAGTTTGACACCTACAAACTGCAGTACTGGAACCACAGGTATATATGTGCACGGAAACTGCTGTTAAAGACGCAAAACAGCAGAGTATTTAACTTCCAAAATAATGTGAAGAAACATGCTGAAACTCTTTAATATACATTTGTTATTTAAATGTTTTATGCAATTCGTGACAATGTTATTTTAGTGTTATTTATATACTATTATAGTTTTGACTTGGATTATTTTTTTTAATTCATATTTTTAGTTTGTTAATTTTATGTGCTTTTGTAACTTCATTTTTTAAATATTGATATTTAGGTTTAATTTATTTTTATTTTAGTTTATTTATTATTTATGTACTATTATAATTTATATAAATATTTTGCTTTGGAGTTTTTAAAATATATTTTCAGTTCTCATTTTAATTTTGGTTTTAGAATTTTTTTCTTTAATATTACTATTTAGGTTTATTTTTATTTTAGTTTTTTATTTATTCTTTTAAAGTTTATTTCAATGTTTTGAAGTACCTTTTTATAAAAAGTTTCGGTTTCCTTGCTTATGTAATTTAAGTATTACTATTTATGTTTTATTTTAGTTGTTTCAGTTCAATTTTAGATTTTTAAAAATTTAAAATATTTCCAGTTGGTAGTTGAATGGTAGTTGGTAGTAGAATTCAAATTAGAAAGTGTTTTTGTCTAATAACTTTATTTTGTCTAATAACTTCAAATTGCAAAAAAATTAAATAACAGTTTTAGTTACCTTTTGGTATGCAAGAAAAACTTTTAAAGGCAGTGAAAGTTATACAAAAGAATATGAAAAACATTTTATTTTTTAATTTTAAGAAATTAATTCGTTACCCTAAACTTGATAACACAAAATGTGAAATCTTTAGGCCTATAGACCTGAAAACGCACATATTGATCCACACCTCATCAGATTCATTTTTTTTCCTCTTAAAGGGAGTTGATGATGGGTGATGAAGGTAAACCAGGAAAGAAGATGAAGATCAGAGGAAAGATGCGGAAACTGGACCGCCCTCCAGAGAACCCTGTGGTGGATGTAAGTGAGCTTCATTGTTTTGATCCTACACACTACTTACAGCACCTTTTTGACCCAGCTGCACCATTCACTTGCTCATCGATGGCTAAAACCCATTTCTTATCCTCCTGTAGCCTACTATTAAATTTGATCGTCAGCCAGAGTATCTGGACACTACGGGCGGGACGCTGCATCCGTACCAGCTGGAGGGGCTCAACTGGCTCCGCTTCTCCTGGGCTCAGGGAACCGACACCATCCTGGCAGACGAGATGGGTCTGGGAAAGACCGTGCAGACTGCTGTTTTCCTCTATTCGCTGTATAAAGAGGTGTGTGGTTTTATGCTTTTGTTTGAATATATTTTGTATATTCAAACAAACTGGATTTTCAGCATCATTATTTCAGTCTTCAGTGTCACATGATCCTTCAGAAATCACTAATGTTTGGTGCTCAAAAAACATTTCTCATGCTCAATGTTAAAAACAGTTTAATATTTTTGTGAAAAACCAGGATCATTTTGTTCAGGATTGTTCGATGATTAGAAAGTTCAAAAGAACAGCATTTATTTTAACATTACTGACACTTTTGGTCAGTTTAATGCTTCCTTACTTTCTTTAAATAAAATAAAATAATATTACCGTCCCCAAAGTTTTAAATGATAGTGTATGTTTTCATAAAATGCTGTTGCCAAATAGTGTGTTACGTATTTGTAAGTTTAGAAATGTCATGTTAAAATTTAATGTTGCCAAACCATTGAATGCTACGTTACTACCTTAGTACAGAATGTCATCTTTTTTCAGTTTTAAAATGCTGGTGTCTTGTTCTCCAGGGTCATTCCAAGGGTCCGTTCCTGGTGAGCGCCCCCCTGTCCACCATCATTAACTGGGAGCGAGAGTTTGAAATGTGGGCCCCGGATATGTACGTCGTCACATACGTCGGAGACAAAGACAGCAGGGCTGTCATCAGAGAAAACGAGTTCTCCTTTGAGAACAACGCCATCCGCGGTGGCAAGAAACCCTCTAAGATGAAGGTCAGTGAGTTGGAAAACTACTCTTTCCATTGAAGAATCTTAAGTCTCTTCAATCTATATATATATATATATATATATATATATATGACTGGAACTCCTCTACAGAACAACTTAGAAGAGCTTTTCCATCTGCTTAACTTCCTCACACCAGAGAGATTCAGGTGCGTTTCTGATTCATTTCAAATCTAAAGATCATGCAGTCTTGAAATTCTTTTTAATATTATGTCATGGAATTACATAAAAATAAAGAAAATAAATAATAAATGTATAAGTATATAAATAATCATTTTATAACAAATGATTAATTGTAATAACACACGCAAAATTATATATGATTTAGTTATTCATTTTAAAATAATTTGTATTTTTCATATATATATATATATATATATATTTTTGTAACATGACTTCGAAAGACTAATATAAAATTACTGAAATAAAATGAGTTCAATGAATCTGACAGTGCACGTAAAATATTTTAAACAACAAATAAAAATTATCTGAATGATATTTTTGTTTATAAATATTATTATTATTAAAAAATTCTATATTTGTTTTTTTGTTTAGTTTTTTTTTACAAATAATTTTTGCAAATAATGTAATAGAAATCTTTTCAATGTAAATTTGTTTGTATAGAGTTTCACAAATGTTACAGAGCTGCTTTACATAAATCGTCATACAACCAGTGAGGAAAAACAACAGCGGTAATAGAAAACTCCACTCAAAGAAGCATGCACTATTCAACTATTTATGAATGTTTGTAAGTTGTAAGGAAGCGCAAATTAATACTTAAAAGAATCTGCATATAGTTTTATGGAAAAAAAAAAAACATTTCAAATGGATCCCTTCAGCACCATCTGGTGGCCCCCTGGGTGCCATGACTCTCTCTCTCATTCTGCAGTAATCTTGAGGTTTTCTTAGAGGAGTTTGCCGACATTGCCAAGGAGGACCAGATCAAAAAGCTTCACGACATGCTGGGACCACACATGCTCAGGAGACTCAAAGCTGACGTGTTCAAGCACATGCCTTCCAAAACAGAGCTCATCGTCCGAGTCGAGCTCAGCCCCATGCAAAAGTGAGTATGTGATGAGGAATAGACTGAGAAGTAGGTTACAGGAGCCAGAGTTTCTAAATCATTTATCTGTGAATCCAGGAAATATTACAAGTTCATCCTGACCCGCAATTTTGAGGCTCTGAACACTCGTAGTGGAGGAAACCAGGTTTCTCTGCTGAATGTCGTTATGGACCTCAAGAAGTGCTGTAATCATCCCTATCTCTTCCCTGTTGCTGCTATGGTACGGTCCTCTTTTTCCTGTGGCTTTAATAACAGACCAATAACGTGTCATATTATGTGATATTTGAGTAAATTGCATATTGATGAAATTGAAAAGATTGAGATGTCGTCTGATTGGCTGTGTGAAACAGGAAGCTGCCAAGATACCCAATGGGATGTACGAAGGCAGCGCCTTGACTAAATCTTCTGGCAAACTGCTGCTACTGCACAAGATGCTGCGGAAACTCAAGGAGGGCGGACACAGAGTGCTCATCTTCTCTCAAGTAAACGAGCATTTATTTATTAGGATTCATTTACCTCTTAGGCAAATTAATGCTTCTTATCTCTGAAGCAGATCCTCCCCTCACCCCCCCCTCCAAAAAATCAATATCAAACTTTATTGTCTCTCATTACTATAATTTTTTTTGTATCGATAAAAATAAATATTACTATTAATAGGTATTAAATATTTATACTGCCGTTCAAAGGCCAGATTTTTGTTTTTAAAAGAAATGAATACTTTTATTTAGCAAGGAAACATTAAATTAATAAGTGACAGTAAAGACATTTTACGAAAAATTTCTGTTTTAAATAAATGCTGTTCTTTTGAACTTTCTAAAAATCAAAGAATCCTGGAAAAATACGGTTTTCTGCAAAAATATGAAGCAGCACAACTTTAGTTTAACAGTGATATTTAGAAATGTTTCTTGAGCAGCAAAATGGCATTAAATAAATTACATTTTGAAATATTTTGAAATTACATTTGAAAACACTTATTTTAAATTGTAATAATATTTCACATTATTATTATTTTTACTATATTTTTAAACTGTATTTTTTGTTTTTAATGACAAAAATGCCTAGAATGCACAGCAGGAGTTTGAGATGTTTTGTCCCTCTTCTCTAGATGACCAAAATGTTGGACCTGCTAGAAGACTTCCTGGAGAACGAGGGCTACAAATATGAGCGCATTGATGGAAGTATCACAGGAGGCATGAGACAGGAAGCCATTGACCGCTTTAATGGTGAGACCAGATGTTTGCTATGTAACTGATGCGGTTTGTACATTTGTTCTCTCTTGCTCTGTATAAACTCCATTTCTAAGTGTCATAATGAATGGGATTTTTCCTGCTCTAGCTCCTGGTGCTCCCCAGTTTGCTTTCCTGCTGTCGACCAGAGCCGGTGGTCTGGGTATCAATCTGGCAACCGCAGACACCGTCATCATCTATGACTCTGACTGGAACCCTCACAATGACATTCAGGTGAGATCAGGCATCGGCAATGGATGTCTGTGATGTTTGATATAAGAAAAATCTTATAATAAGATCTGACTTGGTAAATTCATCTACACTGGTGGTTGGTGTTTTCTCTTGTAGGCCTTTAGCAGAGCTCACAGGATTGGACAAAACAAGAAAGTTATGATCTACCGTTTTGTGACCAAAGCCTCTGTAGAAGAGAGAATTACTCAGGTACACTACAATTTTTCTGTGACACACAATTTTTATTTTTTTTTGTCAACACTGTCTTTTGAATCTAAACTGATTGGTCTTCATTTAATCTCAAGGTGGCCAAGAAGAAGATGATGTTGACTCACTTGGTTGTGCGTCCTGGATTGGGCTCAAAGACCGGTTCGATGTCCAAACAGGAGCTTGATGACATTCTCAAATTTGGTACAGAGGAGCTCTTCAAAGACGAGGCAGAAGGTGTGGCTGGAGTTACAAACTGCTTTACTTTATACCAACACAGTTTCTCACCTAAAGAACCGACATTGAAACTGGTTGTGTTTATCTGTTAAGGAGAGAATAAAGAAGAGGACAGCAGCGTGATTCACTATGATGACAAAGCAATCGACCGGCTGCTGGATCGTAACCAGGACGCCACAGATGACACCGAGATCCAGAGCATGAACGAGTATCTCAGCTCCTTCAAAGTGGCTCAGTATGTGGTCAAGGACGAGGAGGAAGCGGTGAGCGTCAGTAAAGAGCACTGGGGGCTGCTAGACATGTGGGATAACAGCTGGCACTAGGACTGCACGAATCAGCAATTAAAGCAAAATTGTGATATGGCTTAGTGTTGCTTATAACGTGCTTTTTGGGAATGCGATATGTTCCAACCATCTTCAGAAATGTGAAATGAGAAGCACTTATAAACCTTGTGTTGTCAACAAAAGAGAAACTTTTGTCAACAAAAGAGAAAACTGCCAAAATAAAAGCTTGATGGTTTAATGTTCGAAAATGAAGACAGACAGAAATATTAGTATTGTAATTTTGTGATTACACTGTGGATTTTTCATTTTTTATATTTTATGTCTTTAGTCATTTTACAGTGAAATATTACAATAGTAATATAATTTGGGTTTTAATGTTTAAAAAAAATTAAGACAGCCATAAGTATTATTGTAGTTTTTTATATATATATATATATATATATATTTTTTTTATAGTTATAGTATACTGTAAAGCAAAACTATAATTATTATTATTTTTTTTAGAAATGCTTGATTTATTTTATATTATTAATTATATATTATTATATAATATTCTTAATTTTTCTTAAATACCGTTTACTTTTACAATAGTAATAGATTATTTTTTATTTTATTTCATTTATTTTAATAAATACTGTTTATATTGTAATATTTCATTGTTTAACTGTAGCAATAACTATTATTATTTTAGCTTATTAGTTTATTTTTTGTTAATAGTTATACTGATATATAATCAATTTTTGGCCAAATTGTGAAGTCATACAAACAAGCACAGCAAACCTAGTATTTATTTACAAAAAAAGTTTTTTGCATATTAAATGCCAATCGCAATTTTTATCTGAAAATATTCCATTAGCATAGTTTTTTGGCACATCGTGTAGCCTTAGTTGCCACAGATGCTATGACAAGCTGCGGTTTGGTCATGTGTCTTCCGTGCAGTGTCTTCCATAATATGGTTAAATATGTAGTTTTTACCATATGTTTTTTTTTTTTTTTACCAAAAGGAAACATTTCTTTTTCACTGTTTCCTGTCTTCTCCCTCAGGAAGAGGAAGTTCAGAGGGAGATCATCAAGCAGGAGGAAAGTGTGGATCCAGATTACTGGGAGAAACTGCTCCGACACCATTACGAGCAGCAGCAGGAGGATTTGGCTCGTAATCTGGGCAAGGGCAAGCGAATCCGCAAACAGGTCAACTACAACGATGGCTCTCAGGAGGACAGAGGTGAGAGATGTGCTAACACTATTAAACTATAAACCACACTTGTAAGTGTTTTGTCCGGGTTTATATAAACAGCCATCGAAAGTGCTTTTAAGTTTAAATGTTAATCATGTTTCTTGTTTCGTTACAGACTGGCAGGATGATCAGTCTGATGGCCAATCAGATTACTCTGTTGCTTCAGAGGAAGGAGATGAGGACTTTGACGAACGAACAGAAGGTGAGACCAGCGTGACGATGATCAAACAAAGGATTAATTTTTTTTTTAATCAGAAAAATTTTTAAATGTTTAAACTAGGGATATGCCGGTATCAAATTCTCATGTTGCGATATGCATCGCATTACCAAATACCGGCACAAGTCTAGTTTAAACCCCTTTTCTGAGGCCAATTTTTCGCTGTCTACTTGCAGCCAATTCACGGCGACCCAACAGAAAAGGCCTCCGAAATGACAAAGACAAACCCCTGCCCCCCCTGCTGGCCAGAGTGAGCGGCAACATTGAGGTGAGTGAAGGATACCTGGGATTTATGTTTTCTTGAACTCTTGTGTTTTGAGTTTAACATACTAAAACACTGTTTAAATTTGGCAGGTGTTGGGTTTTAATGCTCGTCAGAGGAAGGCCTTCCTGAACGCAGTGATGCGTTATGGGATGCCACCTCAGGACGCCTTCACAACCCAGTGGCTAGTCAGAGACTTGCGTGGCAAATCAGAGAGGGAGTTCAAGTAAGTTTGAGCTCATTTAGTGTTTTTTGTTTGTTTACAACCAGGTTACAAATATTATATATATGGGGGGAAAAACTATGAATATGATTTATTTTAGTTACAAACTGTGCAAGATGTCATCAGTTCTTGGCCTAACTTTTATTTTTGAGGGTTTTGTAAGTATTTTAAGGTTGTGACCAGATTAAAAATATTTCACGGGAAACGGAAAACTGAGCATGATTTATTTTTTATTTTTCTACAAAAATTGCAAGAAGTCATAGTTACAGGCTTAAACTCTTTTGGGTTTTCTTCATAAAATGTTTAACTTACAAATTTGCACTACAGTTCAAAAGTTTTTTTTTTGTTTTTTTTAGAAATTAATGCTCTTCATCAGCAAAGATGCATTAAATTAATCAAACTGAAGTCTGGAGTAATGGCTGCTAAAAATTCAGCTTTGCATCACAGGAATAACTTTTATTTTAAAATATTTATTAAAATAGAAATGGTTACATTAAGTTGTAATATTTTACAGTATTGCTATTTTTACTGTATTTTTGATTATATAAATGCAGCCTTGGTGAGCATAAGACGCTCCTTTCAAAAACATAAACAAAATCTTTAAACAGTAGTATATAAGAATATATTTCCATTTATTGGTATATAATATGTATTTTTAGGTTACTCTCAGGTTAATCACATTAACTTCATTAATTAATAATTTTGAGACATTTATCTATGAGCAAAAGGCTCCTAGAAAAATAAATACATAAAATCCTAGCTAAATATTCATACTCTGGGTGTCTTGGATCTATGAACTGGTTCTAATGGTATTGTCCATGTCTACTTTGTCTCAGGGCTTACGTCTCGCTCTTTATGCGGCACTTGTGTGAGCCTGGTGCAGATGGTGCTGAAAGCTTTGCCGATGGCGTTCCCCGGGAGGGACTGTCCCGGCAACACGTTCTTACTCGTATTGGTGTGATGTCATTGATCAGAAAGAAGGTAAATGAGTAATGTATTGTAGTTAACATGCAGTACAAATGCCAAGTTTACAAACAGATCATATGAAATTTGCAAGATTCATGAATAGCTAAATCCATTTTGCATTGATGTCTAATTGTTTGTGTTTGGATGACTTCCTTTTTCAGGTACAAGAGTTCGAGCATGTGAACGGTCAGTGGTCAATGCCCTGGATGATGGAGCTGAACGAGAATAAAATAGCGTCCACCGCCAGCAGTCAGCCTGATTCACCCAGCAAAACGCCCTCTACTTGCACTCCAGCGGACACTCAGCCCAACACACCTGCTCCAGGTACCACATATGCCACGACCTCTCAGATTGTAAGCTGATTGCTGTTAATATAAGGGGGTATTCACACAAGGAAAGTCCGCTAGTTCACCTGCTTTGGTCTGGACCAAATACAATGTTGATTTTTTTTTTTTTTTTTGGTGCGGTTCGCTTTTACACTGCTCTTTTAGCAAGTGAAACAGAAACTAAACAAAACCACACGTGTGCTTAAGGTCATCCATTCATTGGTTCATCCATTCAACCGTACCAGAGTTTGATTGGAACCGGACCGAGAACACCTATTCAGCTGGGTCTCGGTACGGTTGTTTGGTGCACACCCGAGTGCGATTGCTGTACTCACACCTGCCCAAAAGATCCGCACCAAAGGGGAAAGTGAACTTGGGTTTGATTCAGTCAAACCAAACAAGACCGGTGTGAATACACCCTTAAGGCTTTTCACACTGAACGCGAAAATTCGACGCGATGACGCTTTTAAATCGAAACAATAGATCCCTATGGGGCTATTCACACCAGGTGCGATCATTCGTGGCGCGAAAAAGCGAAGATTTGTTTTTTCATCCTGTGTTGATTTTATTCCCCGTTTCTCCGCGATGAAACAGGCCGTCCAATCAGATTTGAGCTTAGATCACGTGCGTGGAGCAGCAAAGGGTGGTGGCGCCGTTTCGAAAACCAGTGTAAACAAACACCGAAGAATAGGATTCTGAGCGATTCCGAGAGAGAAGAGAGTGGATGCCATGTTCTTGTTATCTTTTGTATCTGAGAACAGATTTATTCGCACATGTTCTTAATATAATTTCTATTAATTCTCCACTGAATTGTGATCTAGAGTGTCCGTTTTCTTCCACGTGTGTGAGTGTTATATGCGTCAGAGTGCGTTAACTCTCTAGATCTTCCATATAAAAAAAAAATAGAGTGAAATATATTTCTACACATGAAATATGAAAGCAAATAGACATGATTATGACTATATATTTTCTGTATATGTTTTGTTTGCAGCTCATGGTATTTTTATAACAATAAAGGATGTTTATGACAATAAGCAGTGTGGCGTTATTAAACATACAAAGAGTGCATGTCTGCTTATTATAGAATCAAAATCACTATAGATCACAATCGGAAGTTATTACAAGCACTCGATGATGGTTTAAAGTGGGTTTTAAGCAAAAACATTAATAATTAACGTACATAAATTTTCAAATGTGGCTTGATGCTACTTCTGTTTGTATTTTAAGATGTTTTCTTGTAAGCATTATAGATAGTTTGTGTTTCTGGCATAGAACCAAACTTTATTTATCTTAATTTAATGCTGTATATTGAGCAGCGGACGATGTTAAATCCATATACGAGACGCATATCTGAGGAAAAATGCATTGTTGGTCAGTGCCACCTAGCGTGCAGGCGTGAATTAGCAGAAGGCGATCAGTCGTTTCATGCTCTGTGTGAAAGCAACGTTCGCTTTTTCGCATCGCGCTCAGTGTGAAATGGCCTTTAGACAGATTATTAAACCTTTGCATGTTTGATCTACAGATGGTGTTTCCAAAGCAGAAGATAGTGGAAAAGATGGCGATAAAGAAAAGGTGAAAAATGGAGACGGTGAGAAGGACGCAAGTGAGAATAAAGACAATGAAGTGAGTACAAACAAACTGTCTGGATCTCTGTTTAAAGCCTGATACACTCATGGTGAAGTTCTTTTTTGTTCTTCACTTTGGGATTAAAATAAAAAGCAGCGATTACTGTTAGCAAACAACCTGACTCCGCTTATACTGTTGAGAGTGATGTTTAGATGAATATAAATGTGCTGCACGCTTTGCTCTCACTAATGAAATAAACGCACAACAAATATGACAGTGGTGAGAAAACAGCAGTTAAGAAAGCATCTGATCATAGCAATTAAGGTGATTGCAGCAGCTTGAAATTCGTCACTCCAGTCAAATCACATCATTTTTATGATGTTGCTTTAAAACAAGCAGTATTAAACATTAAAAAACTGTCTGTTTCAATTGGAATTACAACTTCGATTTCTACTATAAAGCAGCCTATCCTGTGTGTTCATGTTTTTACTCGTGTCTGACCTTGACGGATTGAACAGAAGAATTGAAATGGAGATTTCCATGAAAAAGAGCCTGTTATGTAATCATAGACCAATGGTAGTTTGAAGGTGTTTAACAGGTGGAGTGAATTTTTCCGGAAAGTTCACTTTGTCAAGCTATAGTATATCGGTGCCTTAATTGTCATCGTTTCAACCGTGTGAGGTTAGATGATTTTGATTTGTTAATAAGCCAATTGTATTTCTTTTTATCAAAAGGTCATTGCTATTCCTGATGAAGATGAAAAAGCTTCTTCTGCTTCTGAAGACAAAAGCAAAGACAAAGAGGAGAAGGACAAAACGCCTGAATCCTCTTCAGAGGCAGACAAGGCCGATGGGAAGCAAGATGAGAAAGAGGAAGAGACAGGGAAGTCTGGAGACTCTGATGAGAAGACCAACGACAGCAAGCCCAAAGTGTCTGAGGCTGAGAAGGAAACTTCAGACGCCAAAGGTGAACAAAAATGGCATTTCCAACCCGTAATAATATGGGTTTTCAGGGTTGAATGGGATCAAATATTTACTTCGTCTGAACATACAGTAGCTAATTTTTTCATATGCTTTTTTTTCAGGAGAAAAGAAGGACGATGAACCTGAAAAGATGGACACTACCCCTGTTACAGATGAGAAGAAAGGTCTGTACCACCTGAATGGATTTGAAATGATTATGTAGTTTCTGGATCTGACCTACACACTTTATTAACTTTGTCATTCAATTGGCTCCAGGTCAGAAGGACGAGAAGGAATCTGTTAAGACGGAGGAAGCAGGAAAACTGCAGAATGGAGAGAGTGCCAAAGACAGCGCAGCAGGAGCAGCAACTGAAGAGAGGAAGAAAGCCAAAACACGGTTCATGTTCAACATCGCAGATGGAGGATTTACCGGTAAGATCTCCTGTTCAGACTGTCTATTTTAGAAATTCTTCTCAGGTTTTGTACTAGTTTTAAAACACAAGTGATTAGGTGAAGATGTTTTAGACATTATGACCCAAAAACTTGGAGCCTTGATTAGCTGACTAGTTTTTGAAGAAGTAGCTTAAGTTAGCTTTTGGTTAATATATTGTAAGTCATTGTTTTCTTTTCCCCGTTCATTTTCTCTCTGTTTTTAAAATAATTATGCTTTCCTAGTAGGGCTGCACAATTAATCGAAATTAAATCGCAAAGGCGATAAAACGCGATTAGGCAGAAGCTGCGAACCATCTGAAAGCAGGTGATGGAGATTTACTACTAATCACAGAACCGGCTTTACTGACAAAATGTGCATGACAATCGAATTAGATTAATCGCGTTCGATTAATCGTGCAGCCCTATTTCCTAGATATTTTTCTACTGTGAACATTTATTTGAACTATTTTAATTTAATTTAATCTGTTTATTTATTTATTTTTTAACAATTTTTCAACTACTTTAACTCTATTTTAATTGTATTTTTTTTAACTACTTCAACTTTATTTATTTTTTAATCTATTTTAACTATTTACATTAGCTATTAGTGTTGTATTGGCCATTAATTAATATGTTACCTATTAATTAACTATTAATGTTTTTATATTGTTAATTTGATTTGATGTATTTATTGTAACTATTTTAAATATTGTAACTATTTTATTATCTCAACTATTTATTTGAACTATTCATTTATGATTTACTATTAATATTCATAATTTAACTGAACAAAAAAAAGGGTATTTTATTTTAAACAATATTATTAAATGCTAAAAAGGCAGAATTATATCGGTCATAACATAATTACTTCCAACATGCCATACGTTTTCATAGCATTTGTACTAAATTCTCTTTTTTTGTCACAGAATTACACTCCCTGTGGCAGAATGAGGAACGAGCCGCTACAGTCACCAAGAAGACCAATGAGATCTGGCATCGTCGCCACGACTACTGGCTACTCGCTGGCATCATACAGTATCCTTAAAAAAAAAAAAAAGAAACCAAGAACGCTGCTTTCAGTGTACATGTACACACGTCTGAGTGTCTTTCAGATGTGTTCAGTGACGAGATCTTCCTCAATTCACTGTCTCAGACACGGTTACGCTCGCTGGCAAGATATTCAGAATGACATCAGATTCGCCATTCTTAACGAACCCTTCAAGGGAGAGATCAACAGAGGAAACTTCCTGGAGATCAAGAACAAGTTTCTGGCCAGGAGATTCAAGGTATTATGAAAAGAACAGAATTTTTCTTGTACGTAAGTGAAGATATTGGAGTTAGTAAGACCGTTTTTATGTGTCTCCTGTAGCTGCTTGAGCAGGCTCTGGTGATTGAAGAACAGCTGCGCAGAGCTGCGTATCTGAACATGACTGAAGACCCTTCTCACCCCTCCATGGCTCTCAACACACGCTTCAGTGAAGTGGAGTGTCTGGCCGAGTCCCACCAGCACCTGAGCAAGGAATCCATGTCCGGAAACAAACCTGCCAATGCCGTCCTACATAAAGGTGCATCATCTGACCTCATTTTAATTTTGAGCTTCTGACTCATTGTAGAAGCTGACGCTCACTGCTTTCTTGTATGTGTTTCTGACAGTACTGAAACAGCTAGAAGAGTTGCTCAGTGACATGAAAGCAGATGTCACTCGTCTCCCGGCGACCATCGCCAGGATACCTCCTGTCGCCGTGAGGCTGCAGATGTCTGAAAGAAACATTCTCAGCCGTTTGGCCAGCAGAGGACCAGACACACAGTCTCAGCAGGTACACAGTCACCTACCCGTACTGCTGGGAATTATGCTTGGACTATATCAGATTTTATAGTCTATAGTTGTATTTTGAAAATTGTGCCTGTTTGCAAGCTGAATTATGCATTAGAATTATATTTTGTCTTTAAGGTGTGTGTGTGTGTGTGTGTGTGTGTGTGTGTGTGTGTGTGTGTGTGTGTGT